AAATACCGTACGAAAGTGCAAGAGTTCATTGTTTTTATCATTATACTTAATGTTATGCAATGATAAACCGATGATATTGGATATGCGCGAAGTGAAATTCTCACCATTCCCGTACGTCTTTTTTTTTTAAAGCTTTTGTGTACATACAATAGAAAACATGTGCACTTGTATGTTTATTAAGGATAAATTGCAATTCTCTATATCGAGGATTTGCAGATTACGCGTTATGTGCAATTATGTACCCATAACAATGCGAGAAAGTATAAGTTAACTTAAAATAATTCGCATTTTCTTGTTAGTTTATTATCGTCGAATAAAATTTATCGAATGTGATTGCAGTAAATTGTATATTTTGTTTTTATTTCAGATTATAATAAAATGCGTACAGAGTTGACGTAAATATAATTTTAATAAATAGAGTCGTAATCATATTTTTAAGAAACATGTTGCAACAACGTGGATTCATGAGAGATAAAGTATTGTTTCGCATTTTAAAAAGTAAAGGTGCAACTGCTAGCAGCATATGTGATAAACTGGTATTTATAAATATTAAAGAATTATACTTTGTTATTGACAATATTGGTTTACTTCAGAAGTGTTTACCATAACCTTTCATCAAACTTTTGATTATCAAGATATATTTTAATGGTTGCATAATGTAATCACAAACTATTAACAATGAATTTTTTTATTAGAATCATAATGTGAAAAACATTGTGGTATTATCAGAAGATGAACTTTGTGAGCTATGGAAACATACGAAAGCCATACTATTGGAAGCTCAAAAATTATGTACGCAATCATCAGAAAACAAAAATAAACATGTGAAAGTAGGAACATTTATACAAACTTAACTATTCTCATTTATAACTTTTACTTCATTTAACAAATTTTATGTATTTCAGGAATATAACCTTATGATTAAATTGATTCGTACTATAACTGTAATGGCGCTTGAAACAATTGTAAGACGAACATTTATACCAAGTATTTTGTTGCAGAATATTATGTTATTACATTCCATTGTATTACCAAGTATAAAGGACAAACAGGTTGGTGTTTTCTTACAATACACTATATTTAACATTGTTTCTTTTTTAATTAATTGCAAGTAAAAACTTTCTAAGGCTAAAAATGAAATATCTTACCTATTGGAAAAATGGTGGAAATTAGATATGGCATGGAAGGAAAAAGTGATAATTAATGCAGTGAAATATCTCATTAAAGGTTGCAAATCTTCATTGGTAATTATATATTAAATATGATATAAATATTTGATATGATATAAATATACAAATGATATTAAAATAATTCCTTGATTGACTTTTTAGCAACACATAAAACGTTTGTATGACATAAGATTCACACTCAAGTTATTGAAATCTATAGAAGATGTACAAGAATTACTTAAACTTGTTCGTGAGAAATCTGTGATGACACTTGAAGAAGGTCAGAAGCTAATGTTATACTTACTTACGCTTGGGGAGCAACATATATTGGTGAAGATTATAATTATATATATTTATATCACTTGTGTATGAAATAGAATTAACATTAAGATTTTTTAGGGGATACATAACAATGTGAAGGTAGTATTACAGGATATAGGACGCAACAACATTATTTTGTATGCAGACTTGTATACAACAGGATGGTTAAATGCATCTGCAAAGTTGAAAAAATTCATTGCTGAAAATTGTCTAAGGGATATTATTTTCCATTGTTTCCGTGCACATAGAAATCCAGCAGGAAGAGGAGAGCTTGGTAAAAATCTGCTTTCAATACTTACTGCCATTCACGAGAGCAAAAATCAAGCAGTAAGACTAATGATTCACAATCAATGTAAACCTTTACTTTGGGAACACTTGAAGGTATTAATGGAAAAATAATACATTCAGTTTATGATAAACGATAAATACAATCTCTTTCACAGGCTCCTGGTTCTTACATTAGATGTAATGCAGTAGAAATTCTTTTTGTGACAAACTCTATACACTATCCATATACTGCAAAAAGTAGAAACACGGTTTACCTTCAAAAGTATTATAACACAATAACTGATCTCTTGAAAGATCCTAATTATCAAGTGTGCAATGTTACCATGAATGTAAGCTAACTTTTATCCTTGATTTGTCAAGCTTTTTTAAATATGTTTTAACAACTGTTTATTTGATCACTAATTTTTTACAACTCCAAACATTATCAGGGTCTTTTTCAAATGTTAGAAAAACATTGGAGCTGTGTTCCAAAAAATATTATTCGCGATTGGTTATCTATATTACTAAATTATACAAAATGTTCGAGTAGCCCAGAAACGAGAGCAAATGTTTTCATTGGCTTGAAGAAAATATTAATTAAGGACCGATCTCACAGAATAGTTAGGGATTTTCTACCAAATTTTGCACAAAGTATTTATGATGAAGATAAATTCGTATTAGAAGCCCTAATCGAACTCCTATGGCATGCACAAAATCAACTTGGAATGCCTTTCTGGGATATTGTACCACTGACGTACATTCTCGATCGTTTAGAGGTATATGAGCATTCAGCTAACGTGTAAATGTTTATAAGCGTAGATAATAATGAATGTTATTTTATACATATTTTTAGACTACCGAAGACACTATTTTGTTAGTGGAATTAATAAAACTTCTTTGGAAGCGTATTTCTTTAAACGATATAGACAATTGTAAAATAACAGAAGAAATTGTCTACATAGGAAGAAATAATATAAAGGCAATTAGGAGATTTTGTCTTCATTCTAAATTTATTATAAACTGGAATGTATCTGTAAAGCTTATCAAAACCATTTTACCTATGATAAAAGAGGAAATGGAATGTTTGCCTTCCACGAAAATATTACAGAGTACACGTAGCAAGAAAGCTAAACTGAATAATGACGAAAATAATTGCATAGATGGTAATAACATATATAGTTGTATTAAATATTACATTCGAATAATTGATTATCTTTATTTTAACAGAAAATGTGAACGAAGTGGAGAGTGACCCCAATAGTTACAGAGATGTTCAAATATATATTGACGTTATTGCTATGCTTTTAGTAGCAAATCTAAAGACCATAGATGAAGAAAATTTCACTATGGAAGAGATAGAAGTTTTACAATTAATTGCCAATATTCTGCCACAATTTTTCACATATTTTAAGGTAATTTTTACATAATTAATCTTTAATATTAATATTTTTTATGTATATGATTTTCTTTCCAGGAAACTCCGGTAAACGATTCAGTGATATTTTTATTTTCTTTGATACCGCCAAAGTTTTTTCTCAATAGAAGTGAAATTTTAGAGATGTTAGAACAACAATTGTATGATCCCGTTATCTCTGATGATACAATTTTTACAGTTATATATGTTCTTCTAAAGTGGAATAAAGGACAAGCGGTTTTATTTGCACTAACAAATCTTTTCATGGAGTCTTTAAATATTAATATACAAATTAATGAGGTACAGGTATTACGTAATGCATACGTTCGTAATATAACGTGGCACTAATAAACAATTACTTTAGGGCACTTGTAATGACTCAGATGTCTTCAAAATTAACGAAAGGGGATTAGAGTTAAGTCTTCGTATTTTAAAACATTTACTGCATGATGAATATCGATCAGTCGTAATGAATAAATATCATCAAGATGTACTCAAATTTTGGGAGAGTTTACATAAATGGAGAACTTTCATACATAAAGAACTAGAGAACGACTACAATATAAATAACGTAATATCCAAAGATTTAGTTGTGAGGTTTTTTAATGAATACATATCAATGGTCTCCATGCTGGATAAGGAAGACGTGTTCGATGCTTCCGAATATATTACGGAAATGTTGCTGTGGATTACAAAGTATGTAAATAAATTACTTATTTTCAAGTGTATTTTAAAAACCTTCATAATTTGCATTGCATTTTTAACTTAGGGAAATAGTACCACACATAGATGTGGATACTGACAGTCATGAAATTTGTATAGATTTAATGAAATGTACTTTTCATATGTTAAATTTGCTGCTAAAGGAATGCAATAGTACTCCAAAGTTATGTTGTGATATTGTACTTTTGTATTGTAAATGTCTAACTATGGCAAGAGGTGTAATTTTTTTAAATGATGCGTTTGATGCATCAATGAAGTTGTTAGATTTTAGCAAAATGGCTTATGAAAACCAAGAACCAAATTTGTTAAAAGTTATTGTTCCAAATTTTGTATGCACTGTAATGGTTACTTTAACCAAGTGTGACGAAAACATCCTGGCCAAACAAACAAATGTAAGTATTTACTCCATTATTTTAGATTTAAAAAAGGTAGTATTCGCATTGAAGTATCTTATGTATTGTTACAGAATTTAAGAATACTGCATGAATTGACACAAAAATATTTTACTGTTGTTAAGAGCACTTTTAATGACCAGAGAATGTGTCTCCCATATATAACTTTTATGCTTAACACTGCAATAAGCAGTATAAGCATAAACATGACTAGTACACTCCAAAACAAACCTATTACGAAGGAAAATATTTTAATAACAAATTTCCCATACTTAGCAACGAAGATATTGAAAATCATTTTCATTACAAAAAAATACCAACCATTGAGTGTTCAGGTGTTAACAAAAACAATAACAAATTATACAAAAGTGTGTATGTTTGGACTGTTTATTTGTATTACTATCCTACATAACTTACTACACGTAATGTTATATTTCAGATCGACACGCTTTCGGCTCTAGTAATAATTCATAAAATGGTTAAGTCATCTGATAAGACACTTATCAATAAACTTAAAAACATAACGTTATCATTCAAAACACACAACCACGAATGGTCTTACGACACTCCCTTTGACAGGTATAACATATTTTCAATTTTATATTATCAGTAAAAATACAGAGATGATACTCTTCTCATTTCAGATCTATGGAAGATGCAATAAACATAATCGTAGATACCATATTGCAGGAATAATAAATCGGGGATTCTAATATACTTATTATTTCTTTAACAAGAAGTATATTTCTAATATAAAGTGTTTGCAATTGATAATAGAAATATTTTACGTAATTAAATCTTTCGCGCATTAAAGGAAGGAGTATTTAAGTATATGTTTTTACTTAAGATGAAAGAATATTTTTCTATGAAAACAAAGAGTACAAATCTATTAGAATTAGCACCCGCGTCGGGCTATTACAGGTAACTGGTAAAATAAAAATTTAACGATGGTTTCTAAAATCATATAAATATATATTTTGTTTATACTGAGGTATTATAATTCTTTATACACGAAATATGTAGACTTTTGTTTATGTATTAATCTTTTATACAAAAGATTGTATGAATAAATCACTGAATTATAGTTACCGCAACAGGTATTTGGTGTACATTTATACGATCTGCATCTTGGTTGCCCATCCTTTGGTATGGTCAACCAGAAGATGTTATATGTCGCATCTGTCTAACAGCAGCTACAACCCTGGCATTACATCCGGAGCTGCCGCTTTGATAATCTTCCGGTGATAATCTCAGTAAGAGAGACATGTGTTGTAGATTTTCTGACAAGGAGAGACCAAGTTCTTCTAACACATTACCAAGGTAATCTATAATATAGTTTTAATGATTAATTTGATAACACGAGTATATTTTACTTTTTATTTATATAATGCATTACTCCACACACCTATGTCAGTAGCAAGTTGTTTACATGCAGCAGAGCTCAAGTGACAAATTCCTAAAGTTTGATCTAGAAACATTTGACACATCCCTTTAGCAATAATATCTAACAAAATACCAGTGAATCCAGATTCGGTTAAACCCTGTGCGTATTGTGGATCTGCTGCTTTTAATGCTTGAGTTAAACTTGGATTTTCTCTTAGCAGGAATGGTTCTAAATGCTGTGGCAATGTCATCAAATATTGTCCAACCTGAGTTATATATTCCTGAGGTGCAAAACTATAATCAGGTAAATCTGCGCTTAGATGAGTCATTTTATTAAATTCTGTTGACCATGCAGGTGCCTTTTGTACTAGTAACAATTGAGTAAAAATAGGAGCAAAAATCACTTCGTACGTAGCATGATGCAAATCTGAGCAGAGTTTATGTATGGACTTTATTATTGAATCAAGAATAGTTTTTTCCTCTGTAAAGGAAATAATTGTGATAATGTTATGTGGTAACTTCCTAATCGAAACCTGATATTATTACTTGGTTAGTATTACCTTTTTGAAAAGATGCAACAAGGTTCTCTAGTTCAGTTTGACTCGATGGATTTAAAAGTAACTTTTTGTACTGATTGAAGACACTACTTGTTGCACTTTGCAGTTTGTTGTTAGCTTCGGTTATATCGATTACTAAGGACTTTTCGAACTGTTGAACTTGGCCCAAAAGATCGCCTAAATTAATTTACATATAGATATACATTTGATCGTAAATTTATAAAAAGTAGCTAAAAATATCATGCATTACCTATAGTTTGCATAAAAGTGAGACACATTTGAAATAGATTCCAATCCTCGTGTTTTACTTTTTTGCGTTCTAATTGCCTCACAGCAGCTTGATATTTTTCAAGATATTTGTTAAAATAATTCTATGAAAATAGGGAATATTTTTATTATACATATTCGACAAATTTTCCATGGCAAAATTTTACTCGAAACAACATACATTCAATGATTTTAATAAACCAGGATACCCACAACCGTCCGTAAAAATTTTGCATCTTTTATTAGCCTCGCTTGCATATTCCATTACTCTCGAAATAGTGAGAGAAAGAACATTAATCGTTTCGCTTAAATCGTCTTGTGTACGATCTATAGACTGAAGCCGATGTTCCAGTTGTGCAGATTCGTAAACATTATATTTCGTGACATACGGTACATAAGGTGCATATATCGCTTGCGCTAGCAACAGTAATTTTTGATTTTCCAATTTTCCATGCGACGATGCCTCGATCGCACCGCTGAGATTTACCGCGAAGTGTCTTGTAATTTGTTTAAGTTCGAGCAATTGAGAGAGCTGCATAGCAGTCGAATGTTGCTTTAAAACTGCTTCTATGCATTCTGGAATGCCTGGATCTAAATTTCTCAGAAGATCGGCGTATACTTCGATTAGAACATCGATCGAAGTATTTGGAAATACTTGATGACACCACTTAACCTTTATCAAATATGGTACTTAAAAAAAATATAACATCGAATCTGGCCAGATAGTAATAACGAATTCACAGATAAAAGAACTACCTGATCGTGCCAACTAGATAGTAGTTTATCGTAGTAATTGTGTAGCCAGTACGTTGCATTTTCATCCTGTGCCAATTCGATAGTTCTGCGCCATTCTTGCGCTAACGATACTTTCAAACAATTATGATAATACTTAAGAAGTTGTGGTAGACGTTCCATTTTACTAAAAATATCCACATAAACTTTGGATTGTTCTAAACATTTTATAATGTAAACATTAGGTGTAAATTCTACAAAATTACGAAATATGTTATGTAATTCATCAAATTTACCCAAATTTGCAGCAGTAAATGCTTGAACCAATTTTGGACTAGCCATTGCTTCTAATCGATTTTTTAAACCTTCTAATTGTAACTTTTTGTCTTCATAATCAACAACATTTACAAGCATTGCCAGTGACTTCTGCATACTAAATAATTTATTTGCAATAACTTCTACATCTCCTGACTCGAATACCTGAAATGTTAATAGTAACAGAAACCTATGCAACATTCTTTCCTTTTGCTCTACCGTATATACCTCCTCAACATCATTGGCTAAGACACTCCAATTGTCAGCCTCGTGTAAACCCTGCTTAGCAACTTCCAAGTCTGTTTTTATCCTATCTATTCTTTCTAAGGTTGCCATAGACGATGCTGTGTCTTTCTCTACCTGTTTAATAAATACCATTGGTATAAGATATATCTTGCACACGTCTTGTGATCCATTGATGAATATTAAAAACAAGACCTTTTCAATTTCTTCTTTAACAGCAACCATTTTTTCTCTCAAAGCTAAAGCTTCTTGCTGCAAAAGCTGTGTATCCCTTAGAACCCTTGGCAGACTCGAAAGAACAGATTGACTAGTCTCCTCTAAAGCTCCATTAACTTGTTGCACATATAATTGCAACTTCATTACCAAGGATGAAACGAATGCCTAATTCAATAACATTTTTAAAGAAATATGAACTTCTTGTCTATTCAAGGTAATGGATTTAATTTTTGTATAACAAAGAAGATGTAAGTCAAAGATCTAAATATAGTTAAATAATAATGCTTGGCTCGGTTTTTGAACTCGAAAGCTTCGTAATTTTATTTTAAATAATCCTTAATTTAAACAATAGTGCAAATTGATGTACACTGACGATTTCGTTGTTGACGTAACAGTTTCCGCGTAAAACTGCGATCGATAGATCTCTTATGCCGTTCGTTGATCGCAAGGGCCATATCGTCGTTCGCGACACGGTAGAAAATAATCTTCAAAAAAGGCACGCGATGTCATTGATCGCGTTGCAATGGAAGCCGTTAGTTTACTGACTGCATCAGTGCAGTTTAAATTCGAAAAGTCTGAGCAAGTAGGAGGTTCGGTGCAGTCAAGATCATTGTAACGCTACACAACTTACATCTTTGTTTTCCTCTGCCTCGGCGGTCTTGAATGTTTTGTTGATCCAATCTTTAACGTCGAAAGTATCCTCGAAGAACGCGGACACATCCTGAAAGCCGTCATTTCGAGGTTAGGAATGATTTGATTTCTCGTTACAAGAATTTCCTAGGCATTCGTTAATTGCGGTGCTTGCACCTTAATTTTTACGAAATCGTTCGCGGTTGTGTCGCGATTATTCTTAGCGTAAACGAATTAACCAGCGAACGAACGCAAAAGAAAAGGTTAATTAGAGTAGCTGACGTTTCGTATCGCTTACCATGACAAGATTTCGTATGGCAACGAGTTTTCAGGTACTCTTCCGCTGGAAAATCGAGAATTACGAATATTTCCGCGCGATCGGCGACGGATTCGACGGTAACGATCGGTCGAAAATTTATTTTCCCACAAGTTTTTTCACTTTTTCTTCATTGTCGCATAGCGCATAAGTGCATCGCCGCGGGACCACCTTGCACTTTGCGTGTTGCTTGGTGACTCGAGCCCAGGACCCGGAAGAACATGTTCTTATCACCATTCGCGACGTTCTCTATTCGTGCGGCGCATTCTGTTACCAAATATTTCCGTACGTCGTCGAAGAAAAGTGTACGCGACTGTTTAAGAACGGATCAATGTTGCGAACGTCGCGCAACGTTCATCATTCTTTAGTTCGCGATATTAGGTTATTGCGTTCGCACGACGAGAAAATGTGAAAAATAGACGAACGACGGTAACGACGGTTTCGATTGTGCGCGGCGCGTAACGGTGTGTAGCTGACTAGCGACGATATACGACAAGAACAAAGGACGAAACGAGAATGAAAGAACCGTTTAAGTTTAAAGTAAGACAAGTGATACGGCTTTAAACGATAGTCGCGATAAGCAGACTTCTGTATCTCGGATTACAGACGGATTCTACGCTGGAGCAAGGGCTTTTCTGGGATACGGCCTTTCACCCCCTCGCGATCATCGGCTCTGTTTTGCTCGTGACACGATCCACGGCTCTGGATTCCGACGAACTGCCTACCAGGAGGTAGCCGGTAAAATCGAAGGGGAAAAGGGAGTGAAAATGGAGAACAGCATGTTATCGGCCGCTTCCGGGCCCTTCGTTGCTCGCCACGCCCCCGAAACTGCGTTTGCGCCCGACGATTTGCGCAACAGTTGGAACTTGGAAATTTCGTCTCCTCGAAATCACCGTGATCGCGACGAAAATGGGGAGAGCTAGCGAAAATCGTGAACACGTCTGTACTCTGCCCTTTTTCTTGCGAACCTTGAAAGCGTCGAGCGAGGATATCTTCCAGTTTGTGTTTTACACGTGTACGTTTCGAATTTTCTCTTTTTTTTCGTGGTTACTAAAGATGGCGTGGGCTGCTACTTTTGAATCACTCGTGATTCAATCACGATGATTTTTCACTGTGATTCGTGATTGTTCGTGATCGCGTCTGATTGGTAAACAACATTCTTTTCACTTTTCACGAATTATGTTGTTCTTAGATTATATATGTATTATAATATAGTCTAAAAGCAATGTTAATATAATTTTACTAAAATTTAAATTTGACTCATTTGTAGTTTCTTGAATTTCCGCTAAGGGCAGACAGCGAGACACTAACGATAACAATTAACCCTTTGCATTCGGATGTCCCATATGAGCGGACATCGTAAGTCTAGCAAATTTTGTTAGTCACACCATAAAAGCTTCGTGAAGTTGGCAGCCCCAAATGCAAATTTTGATAAAAATCAAATTGCATTCGTTCGTCCTCGATTTGTCCACGTTTGTCCAACCACAATTTTCATTTGTCCACCTTTCAGAAAAAAGTTACACCACAAATAAGCCATTTGAAGTCAGCACACCAATATAGACCTTTTTTTAAGGTTTTCTTAACAAACGTGTCCCTTCACATTTTGTCCACTAATGTTTTTCGTTTATCCAACAAGTATTTTCGTTTGTCCATCCCTCAGAGAAAAGATACACTTCACACACTTCATAAATTAATATTATTGAAAGAGAAATAATTAAAATATAAATAGAATGCTACAATAGCCATTACACAAACAATTTCTGCATTTTAACTGTTAATTTGCATCCAACGGTATATATCACATACATATTCACCTTAATAATTATTAAATTGATGAACATGATACGTAAGTGTAAGTAGCGATACTACATTTTCTTAATCTATGCATAACTTTCCTATATCTTTGCCTTACTTTACAAACGAAAACTTTAATTGAAAAAACGAATAACGTTAGTGGTTCTGCGCAGACAGGAATAATTAGCTACAAAATTGATAAAACGAACACAAACGACCCGCAACCGAGCGTATCGCTGGCAATTTCTCCTTAATTGAAGTGTATCTTTTTTCTGGAGGGTGGACAAACGAAAATACTTGTTGGACAAACGAAAAACATTAGTGGACAAAATGTGAAGGGACACGTTTGTTAAGAAAACCTTAAAAAAAGGTCTATATTGGTGTGCTGACTTCAAATGGCTTATTTGTGGTGTAACTTTTTTCTGAAAGGTGGACAAATGAAAATTGTGGTTGGTCAAACGTGGACAAAGCGTGGACAAACGAATGTAATTTGATTTTTATCAAAATTTGCATTTGAGGGTGCTAACTTTACTAAGTTCACCATAAAGGATTTATGTTTGTAGTGGTGTCGCCGCATCACGAAAGCTAGAAGAATTTATAATCAAGTCTAATAATACCAAAAACGACACGTTTCCAAAGTTAAACTATTTTATGTAATGCGATTCCTGTTTGCATGTTTTGCAACGAGATTAGTGCAGAGTGCAAAGGGTTAACATGAATCGCTCCTGAAACGCCAGCTTCTGGATCACGGTCGTGATCGAAGTTTAATGACGACTGCGATCGTGATTGTGTGATCACCGTTAGTGATTTTTCTCGCCATCTCTAGTGGTTACCATGAACTTATACCATATTATACCAATTCACACGGTTAAGAATGAAAGTACTTTTCGTGAAACTATATACATATACAGGGTGTCCCAAAAATGTTGTAACACCTTGAAAGAGATGGTTCGGGAAATGATTTGAAACAACTTTTTCCTTAGCGAAAATGTTGTCCGAGGCTTCGTTAAGGAGATATTAATGAAAAACACTGACCAATCAGAGCTACGCGCTAGGCGACCGCTCATACGCTACCGCGGGCGGTCCATCGGCATACTCGCGCTCTGATTGGTCAGTGTTTTCCGTTAATATCTCCTCAACGAAGCCTCGGACAACATTTTCGCTAAGGAAAAAGTTGTTTCAAATCTTACGAACCACCTCTTTCAATGTGTTACAACATTTTCGGGACACCCTGTATACATATATACTTATAGAGACTATCCAGTTTTAGATGAGTCTCACTCGTCAGTGCATCATCTTTATTAAAATTCATCCCTCAAGAGGTTAAACATTGAGGTGGAAACAAGAAATAGCCGCACAATGGTCAATACAAAGTTTCACGAAATTTATTTTTTATTTGAAAGTGTATGAATTGATAGACGTGTTTTTCTTTACTTCTTCTTCTGTTTTGAAAGCGATCAGATTTTGATTTCGCTTATAATTTATACGAATAATTTCAGAAAATCTTTCAACACATCATCAAATTATTCGTAATGCTCTCATGAAAACATAGTGAAAAATATAAAAGTTTTCATTTTGTAACCGTGATCACGATGATACGCGCGCGGCGCCGCTTTGATGTTCAGCAACGGGGTTTTAAATTCACAGTTGTTAAAGGATGAAAGGGAAAGGACAGTATAAATCTACCATTAATGCTCCCCCGAAATTGCTCGTAATTCGATGCCTATCGTTTCGTTTTCGAGGTATGTATGATCGATTACGTGTGAAAATTCTGGCCAAATTGTTACATTAATTAGTAACAAACTTTACAAAAATACGATTTACATTTTTTTTTTCGAGGTTTTCACTTTTTCAATAATTTAATAATTTTATTTATGTTAAAATTGAAAGTTGAATTACTCTAAGGCCAAGATTTACGAAACACCGCGCGTTGTATGGGTTACTAAAAATGTTGGTAACATCGTTCACATGAGAAAAAGCTTCGTTGGATATTTTTTTAATTACTTGTAACGTTTGCTCGTCGATCGGTAACCAAAATAAAACAATCGGCAGTTAAATGTATCGATCCCGTTATTGGATCATCTTCGATAATTACCGAAAGATAATTAACCGGAATTATTCAGATTCGACACGTTTACACGCCGCGGCCGGTTGTTTTATTTCGCGTATTCCTTTCTTATCGTAGGCTCGGAACGAGATCTCGAAGTTTCGCGTAACGAGGAAATTATTCTTTCCTGTAAAACCGAACTTTGTCACGGACGGCAATCAGGTTCAATCAGCGGAGCGTATTAGAATCGTGTGCATTTAATGTCGCGCATAAAGTGCGTCTATCCGTGGTCCAATTTTGTAATTTTCTCGTGCATACGAATGCGTCCTTACTGGCACGCTTCGAAAACCACAATTTCCTCCGATCAATTCGCACAAAGGGAACACTGTAAACGCTTGTAACAATGTTCACTCCTGTTTCTTCGTGTTAACGTTAGATTTAAGGAACGCTCGTATTCTATCAGGTATCTTATATTCGTATTTGGTATTGGTTTCATAGTTTTGCCATGTTGAGGATTCTCATTGTTATTTTAAACATTAATTTTAATAGTAAATTTCTTTTTTTTTTTTAACGAAGTTTTAAAAATTAAACGAATACTTATTGCTTCAATATTTCTATCGATTAATTGTTTTTTTCTTGTTAATTTCGCAACTTACATAAATAGCTATTTTTTTTTTTGTAATCTATCTATTCTAGAGATTTCCGAGAATATATAGAATGTCATTGTCTATAAAAAATAAGTTAATAACATTACAATTTTACATGGTTATTTTGGAAATTGATCGGTGTACGAATACTTTCTACACTCACTGTAGATAGAACCGGACGAACTCGACATGGCAAAATTATCGAATCATCTTTCTAGCATAGAAAGACCTGGTCTCAGAGATGGACGAGATTCGATTTGAGTAAAATCAACGTATTAGCTATTTATTAAATTTTCGTTCAGCGTGAAACATGCCATTCCATACTTGAAACTTCTACTCAAAATTTGTATCTAGATGAGAGTTTTGTCCTTCTCTGCGTGGTCCCAGGAGAACTATGCGATGCGAGGGTTCGTAAGAAGAGATGTTCCTCAACTTTGAGACCCAAAGCAGCAAATTGGTTAAATGTTCTCGACGGTACCAACCACTTCCGAGTGCTTCCGGACCGATTCGTCAGAAAGCAGGAATACCTGGTGAGTTCAGAGAACAGGTAACGTCGCATTTCTCTTATTTTCTTCTTCATCCACACCAAGCTTTATTCTCCTCAGCGCTCTGCCGACCCAGCAAGCAACGTGGAAAAAGCGCAAGTGGTTATCAAAGCGCGATAACGGGCCAACAACCTAACAGTTTACCTAATCTCCCTTCCTGCACGAAAGGTGTATGTAATCCGGCACC